TGATACAGACATCCCAACTGTTGTACCAAAGTAGCTTTCGTCTCGTGAGATTTGAATCTTCAATATTTCATAGTGGTGCATGGTTTGAGGTTGACGTAAATGTCGGTCATAAGAGTCGATTGAGTGTCTTTTCTTGAGCTCCTAGATTTGGTGGTTTTATCACTACCATATGTTTCACTTTGTGAGGTGTGATAACATAGTCATCATATTGCAGCTTATTACACCTATGATATGTAATGCTACAGAGAGAGAATTCTCTTCAATTTTTCAAGGATTCGGGGCACACTATTGTAGGAAAAAACTGCGAAATATTAATCGTAGGAAATGTATTTTGACGTGTTTAAAGAACAAACTTATACATCATAGAATGCAACCAAAATACAATAAAAGCATGGATGGCTTCTAGTCAAGGAGGTGCAATACAACCTAATGTACATGTATATGCAAGATAATTGCAGATCAATGACAATCATCTATGTACATCTTGAGATTCTGAGGCTGGTTGCAATTGTCAATACAGCTACTAGTATATGTACATTTTGTACAGTAACATGTCCTTAGAAAATATATTTCCTACAAACATTTTGAGTTTCCAAATAAAGATTCTGACCATAAGTTTAATTTTGTCTAAATGAGTTGTAACATGCATATGTGCGCTTAGCCCATTTCTTACCATGTCACATATATGAGGGCCTGCAAGGGGGGTAGTGATTACGAATTACGCAAAATTTTCGCCGCCTATTACGAATTACGTTAAAGTTTCAGAGCTGATTACGACTTTACGATTTGCGGCTAATGTCGAATTACGAATTACGTTGATTTTTGCGGAGGCTGCCTACGGATTACGAAGTCTAAAACGGCCTGATTACGCCTTACGAAAAAAGGCTTGCAGGCCCTCATATATGGGCTACTAAACCCCTAGCTAGCAGGTCCAACTCTACACTCTACTCCTAAGGGTTAGATGTGACTACATCTTTGCCAACATATATGGTTTCTATGTCACTATATACTAAACAAAATGATGGAATTAGTATTTCCCTGATAACGTATATATTTTGTTGACAGTTAATTCACATGTTAAGATTATATCATGTCCTAAATATATAAAACTTTTTGCATATTTTTTGGTATACCTTTATTGTATCAAGTTAAAACATATCAAGCTTTTTCAGTTTTTGAATATTTTTTTGGTATAGTAGTTTAGTACCTTTATGATGGCCGGTTAAAACAATAAACTAAGAAAAACACTGAATGTGTTATACTAGCTGAACTACATGTACAAGGTAAGGTATTTAAGATGAGTGTTCTTCTACTAGCGGTCCTACTTGTCTTCCATGCAGGAGTTAGTCCAAAATGCACATGTCTGTCTTCACTTACCCCTACGTGCACTTTGAGTAGGGTTCAAATACGACGGGGTATACTTTGGGACAAACTCCACCTCGTCTGCACACACACACACAGAAACACACAGAACAAGTTTGAGTAAAAACACAAGAACTCCAATTATAGGTACAACAAATATAAACAAGTATTGTTTGCGGACACAAACCGACCTTGCAGTCCTTGCCCTTCTAGATAAACAAGGCAAAGATAGTAACAAATAAATAAACAAACACGTACCAAATGTATTTTTTGAAAAACAAGGAATACAAAAGAACAGCTATAGTTAGGAAAACACAATGTGATCTTTCCAAAAATAAACATATAGACAAGCCATTCAATATTCTGTACTGCTATTAATGTTTCAGCTGTAAATTTTAAATGTCACAAACCAACTTCTTTCCCTCCCACACAATGTACCAGGAAAAGAATTTCTTGCAAAGATAAATCAATTTACAGTCATAATTACAAGAAGAGCTAGTTACAATTTTTTACTTACAAATTTCAAGTCATAATCTCATATGGTTATGATTCTTCTGTATTCCTTCCATGTTGCGAGCACAAACATAAATACTGAGCAATGTTCAAAATATTAGCTACTTTCGAATTCCTTCTTTCTTCTGCAATATGCAATTATTGATATGATTATGATACTAATTAAAACTTGTATTGTTACCTTCGCCAAGAAGGTTATGTTTTCGTTGGCGTTCGTGTGTCTGTGTGTGTGTGTGTGTGTGTGAACACGATAACTCAAGAAGGCTAAAATGGATTGTCTTTATATTTGGTAGGTGGGTAGGTCTTGATGAGACCTGGAACTGATTAGATTTTGGACCCCCTGGCGGCTTGTTATGGTACTGCAGCTGAACTTCCGGTTTTGATATCTCATGATCTGGACATGGTAGGGTCACTAAATTTGGATGGTAGGTAGCTCTTTGGCTGGGGAAGAAGTGACATAGGTTTGGACCCCCTAGCGGCTTGTTTTGGAACTGCAGAAGCATTTGTTGAAAAATAATCGAAGGAGGATAACTCAAGAACCGATTGACGGATCATCATGATTTTTGGTATGTGGGTACCTTAAAGAATGCTTGACATATGAAAATGATAGTTATGCAAATCAGCATCTTATTAGCATAATTAATGAGGAAATGCTATAAATCTGCTACCTTTGATGATATGATTATTCAAACGTGTGGCATGTGTAATTGTGAAGAAGAAGAACATTGGCAGGTAGTGTTTATGCAAATGAATGCCTAATTTGCATAATTAATGCGAATCGTCAACATTCGTCAAGGCCTAAGGGTAACATCATTTGGCGAAGGTATGAGATCGTGGAACTCTAGTTTGTTCTATTTTTCTTTGGTATCAGCTTTGTAATGTCAAGGTTGCAGGTGGCTAGGGAGTGTCAACAATTTTTTGAGCAGTCAGTGGTTCCAAACATTTTTGCTGACAGGTGCAGATAATTGCACATGAAAACATGTCCTTAGGATCCCTCATTGCCATAACTTACAAACAAACACTGGAATAGCAGCAGTTTTGTTCAAGTGACAAGAAGAAATTTCCCTTAAGAAAGGAGACAAAGTCTTGATAAATGACTTGCAATGAACCAGTCAGGTCACATACCCATCTCAGGCAGTCAGGGCTCGAAATACTGGGTGCATGTGCACCTTAACGCACCCAAGCTGTGCACCCCATTTTTTTCTGTGGATGCACTGGTGCATACAAATATTTTTGTAGGTTTATATATCAAGATGTTAAATGTATATAGTAGTATACAGTAGTGCCAGAAAAATAATAAAATCATTCTTCCACTTTATACATAATTAGTTTTTGTTGACATTCTTTTGTTTTATATGGTGCACCCAAAAATTTTCTGTACACCCAATTTTTTAGGTTGGGTGCATCAGTGCACCTATTCTCAAAAATGAATTTCGAGCCCTGCATCTTTCCTTCCTGCAGGTGTTTTGGTACCACCAGAAAAACCTGTATCCAAGACACTATAAATCAAAGACGAATTTACAGTCCTTCATTGTACTAACATGTAATGCTAGTGTCCTTAAATTGAGGTGAGACAAAACAAAATGTTCTTTGCCAGAGATGCATGAAACCATGTCTACTGAAATCATTAAATGCAATGTTTTAGCCTATATTTTTGGCAGCGCTGTCTCTTAGCGCAGACCCTAGTCAGTGGGAATTGCTGATGTTAAACCTGCTTGTCAATCTAGACACATTGTCTGCAATTATGTTGCTGGCATTGCATCATCAGATTTAGAGGAATGTCTGCATTCCTGATTAGTTTAGAATCTCTGCACTGATTGGTTACGTAATAATTAGTTTAAAGGGTATATAGGGATTTGTATACTATTCATTATATGCCAATTAGTATCTATGGTTTAGAATGCTGACATGATCTCGCATATTTAATTTAGGGAACAGAAATTTTGCTCCAATATGGCCACACTTCCTGTTTCCCTGATGATATTTGCCAGAGGCTGAAAGAGGGCTGCAAATTGTCCTTGCACACATCAATACTGATTTCATGTCAACAGCTTGTTCTCAGTATTCTGGCTTCAAAATGACACTACTACTATTTCGAAAACAGAAATGTACAAAAGATATTTTTTCTTCATTGGCCCTTGCTGTTACGGTAAATCAGTTACATGTCCTTATTTACGGAAACGTTAAACTCTAGTTTCTATACTATAGTATATCAAATGTATACATATGAATTACGATATACCAACTTCATAGTTCAACATTTTGCACATTAGCAATTAACATCATATATCAATATCATAGTTCAACATTTTGAACATTACCAAGTATATATAACGTTATACCAATTTTATATTTCAACATTTTGCACATTAGCAATATTTTTTTCACAAAAATATTGATCAAAACTCCCCATCCCCAAAATTATGAATACGGAGAGAAATAAGGTCACAAGAATATATCATGTGACGTGTAGTCACCAGCGCATGTAGTGTCTCCCCACAACATAAATTATTTGTCACCCACATAATAGTTCCTAAACAGCAATTGGAAGTGGCATACTTGTTTTATGAATACTCAGGCTTCAATGTGATTAAAAATGGCAATTTGTCACGCTGAAAGTAGGAACCATTGCTATGAACCATTAGACGCAAAGGCGCCACATATATTTTATTATCCATTGATTTTTGACTAGCCCTCCCCTGAAAAATATAAACATCATGCCCCTCCCCCTATATCACCACCCCAGTTCGTTTTTTACCTGGTTTTGTGACGTCTGGATACAGAGAGTCTGGTCTGGTTGCTGGATTTGTGCCTTCCATGGCGAGGCCTGGTCGATTTGATGGGTTTGAGGCTCAAAAGTTGCGAGAAAATGCAGGGAATTGTGAAGTACGTGGTCTTCTCTGGTCTGCAGTCGTGGAAAATGGTGACGTAACGCAAATCCTGTCCAAATCTCGTCTGAGATCTCGCGAGAAGTTGAGCACGACGTCACGACGTAACACCGCATGCAACCACTTTATGTTGAGCTAAAATAAAATACTATTTCAAAACGTACATGCAAAATATATCACATACAATTACGCTATCTATGTTTATGATATTTTTGGCTGCTATGCAGTAAATGTTTTAAACTAAACTTCGTTTGTGCTGTAGAAAATCACCGAAATACTTTATTTGTTTGTTGGTGATCGTGACGTATTTCAGGACCAAAGCTTTCAAGATGGCGATGCAAGCAGCGAGAAAGGCGAATGTGAGTACAAAAATGTCGATATAACCTTTATAATCCTCAGTATATGCTCTAAATTAGGTTCATGTGATACTTTATACATTGTTGTTTCTTGTTTGTTGGTCCGATCGACCCTGTGATCGCTTATTTTGATGTGAATCCCGATATTCTGGTGGGGTGTCAGACAGCACTGTTGTGTTTGGCAACACATGCATGTTTGTTTCCTCCTCAAAAAATTATAATTTGCTTCTTTACTCTCCCAGGTTCGGTTGCCGCCAGAAGTAAACCGAATCCTCTACGTCCGAAACCTGCCCTACAAAATCACCGCTGAGGAAATGTACGACATCTTCGGCAAGTACGGCGCCATCAGACAGATCAGAATGTAAGTGGACGATCCCTTGCCTTGCTTTGTCCGAATATTTGGTTTGGTTTTCTTTTTATGCCCACGATCGTGATAATAATCATTCTGGCATGCTCATAATAAATTTTTCACCTCAGTGAAGTGAGGAAAGTTGTGTAAAGTGCCTTTCCCAAGAGCACAAGATCGGTGACAAGGCAGGGTTTGAACCCGGGACTTCTTGGCTTGCATTGGTTCCGAGCCGAACACGCTACCGCTACGCCACACAAAATTATATTTTTGTTGTGTAAAAAAATTGGTTAGATGCCGCGAAGTAGGCGGCAATGCCTTAACCGTATGTGTGTTGTAAACCCGCAAGCGGGTCTTCCGTCCTTATCAAGGGGAGTGCTAACCTTCTCTCCTTTCATACAACACGCCTAGGTATGCAGGTGTGCTACCTTTATAAATGGGCAATTCTTTTGACGCCTTCTCTTTGTGGTTGGGCGTCACTTTGTACTCATATACTTCTCAAGAACACAGATGAAGGTCTAAGATCACTGTTAACTGCTCTGGATGTTTAGTAGTACTTTTGGGGGTTATTTTCCAGATTTTGTGTTTTGCAATTTTGTCCATGTATTGCACTTTTAGCACACAAATGTGAATTTGTAAGTGGAGTTCTGTGTGCAAGGTATTATGGGATAGATCTCAGCAAAGCATTATGGGATATGTAAGTGCATAATAGAGTACCACTGTTTAAAAAAAACATATATAATCTAATGTACCGATTTCATTGTAGGAAATATTGGCATGTCATATTTTCACATTTTCAACTTGAATTTCATATTCATGTTGTTTTTTTTCTTTGTTTTCCTTTTTTTTTCAGGGGTAACACACCAGAGACAAAGGGCACAGCGTATGTTGTTTATGAAGACATCTTTGATGCAAAGAATGCCTGTGACCATCTCTCAGGTTTCAATGTGTGCAACAGATACCTGGTGGTTCTATACTACCAACCGAACAGGGTAAGAAGGACAGTTTCCCCCATACCTTTGAATATTTGCAACCAAGAAGACATTTATTGCTATTTGACTATTTATTATTGTTGTGCACTGAATATTGAATGTCAAATGTTCCATGTATTTGATATGATGAAATCTTACTTAAACAGGTTGGTAAAAATATTGTATGTGATTCTGAAGCTAACACAAGATGTTAAAAAACTTTCAATGTTGTCTTTTGTCATGTGCCCATGTAATTTTGAAATCATAGTAAAACTTGTAAGAAGTATCTTATACATACATGTATATGAAGCTATACAATTTCTTTGCTTTTTCCATTTCCATGTTTAACCATTTTTCTGACGGAGTCTGGTTTTTGTGTTTCCCTCTTGCAGGCATTTAAGAAGGTTGACCAGAAGAAAAAGGAAGAGGAACTGTCGAAGCTTAAGGCCAAGTATGGAGTTGGGGGCGACGCGGCAAGAACAGAGGCAAAATAGGATTAGATCCAGAAGACACTTTTGTACCTGTAGGACTTTTGTACCTGTAGGACCACAGTTTCACAAAAAATTGTATCAAGATGTAAACGTTGTAATAAAGGACCTTTCAAATCACAAGAGTTTTGAACCCTCAACAGTCAAAGAAACACATACTGGTACTTATTTATAGATATGACTCTTTAAAACTTGTATGCATACATAAAAGTTGTTGTCAACAATTGCAACCTATGAAAAAGCCTGGATCACATGTGAGCAACCAAAAACGTTACTTGTTTTGAGCTCTGAGATAAGTTGTTATTACCATATATAAAGTTGTTAGAAAACTGGTGTATATTTTGGTATTCTTACTATTTCTTTTTTGCTGTGAAAACTCAATGTTATGTGGCAACCATTCCAGTGTATTGTGATGTTCACACAAACATACAGTGATATTCTTTGATCTACATATCTTTCAATGTCAACTCTGTGATAAAAGTTGATCCTCCAAGATCACAACTAAAACATGACGCTATCACATATTTTAAGTTTTGATTTGAAGTACAGTTACAGTATAGCAGTACACACTATAGTAAGTTACCATACCAGCAAAAGTGCTGTAAGTAAATGAAGAACAAAAGTGTTAGTATAGTCACAACATGAAACAAAATATGATCGTGTACATTGGTTTGTTACATTCCTTAACTTTAGAAAAATGGAAGGACACGAACCAAATACTTAATAAATCTTTGGTAGTATTCTTAGTAGAAAGACATGCTGTGTCATTATTTCGTTGATAATAACTTTGAAAGTAATATCACGTTAAATCATTACTGAAAATGTCACAAGAGGTGCTAAATGCTAGAAACATTAAGAAAAGCCATCACGAAGCAAATGTATGTGTATGTACGTATCAGACTGTATCATTTGTATGTTTGTGTGTGTAACGTGTTGTGTGCATGACTGTGTCTACATCTGTGTATGTGCGTTAGTTTCCTCCACATATCCCACACTATTTCCTATTTCTCATTTTATACTAGGCAAGTAACTTTTATGGATGACATCAGCGCGCGCATTAATTTTCGCCTGATTTTGAAAAAAAAAATTGGGGGCCTTCTGACATGCCGAAAATGGGCAAAGATGCCTGTTGCCATGCCAGAAGGTGGATGGCAGATAGCAATGAAGAGAGGAGACAACAAAAGGCTCTGATTTAATATTTTGTTTCTTTCTTTGATGCAGTGATATGTGATGTTGGCTGTGTATGTTATGTTCCCACTGAATCAAAAGCATTTGTACAATGATTGAGCCAAAATTTTGAAATGTGAGGAACCTTGTTTTTTCGGCCCGCCTTGTTTTTTTCGCCCGCTCGCATTAGGTTTGGAGTCTGCGGAAGATGTCATCCATAAAATCTACTTGCTGTGGCCTTACATCAATACTCGTCACACAGTAAAACTGCAGTTTTCATTTAATCAGCTAGAGGACACTTGTAGTCCATCATGTCCCATTCTCAAGCTCTACAATTTATCATTTGTCTCCGTGTTTTTATTCAAAATCCATGAATTCATTTTCGACGATTAATGCATGTGGTCAGAACGACTGACCCCACGTGTTAAATTGATGACCATACGTAGTTGATATTATTTACCCCAAAGATCCCCAATCAGTTAACAAACATTTAATCATTCATCCAAAGAAACGTTGCATGTATATAACCTGCAGAAGGAAAGCCACAAGACAGCTTCATTCTGCTCAGAGATCTAGATTTACCCGACATTACAATAGCGTCGGTCTTTGTCATCCAAGAGCCGCTACATTGTCCAAAAGGTGTGACCATCAAAAGAATCACTGTCAATGAAGCTTGTCCTCCCACTGGCCAAAATTTCATTACGTCTTTGTGTCGTTTTCGTGTACGTGTAAACGACAAAGAGATATCTGATCAAAGAATCTTCTCATCTTTGATGTGTGTTCCCGAGCCTCATCCCGGTTAATATACGCGTTACCCACAGCAGGCCTTGTCACCTGTATCACTAGGCAACGGGACGGAACCACGGAGAATGACATCTGAATTTTCATGAGGACAGATCCTGCAGAGACCTGTCTGCAGTCGCCATGCATCAGCTCATGATGCCCACGAATGGCTGACCTTTTCGTAGCCTTATAACTGGGATCTTGGTGCAGTCGAGTGTCTACGACGGTTCTCCTAATCTCCAAGCGTATGGTTTCGGTGGCTAATGTTCACTCCTTGGGCATTTAGATACTGCCTTGTCACCATAGGATCTACTTGGAGATTTAATGGGTCCTCCTATGTTGACACTTTCTGTTCGTCTGACACTTAGTGCATTAAGATGAAGGGTGACGGAGGCTGCCAAAGAAACTATCAAATCACAAAGAAGGTTTCTGGTAGTCTAAACACGTCGGGCCATGTCTTTGAGTCGACAGAGAAAGGCATTGAACTAACGGAAAGACAAATGTGGCAATGTAACGTTAGCCTACGAAACGAAAATAACGAATCTATCTTCATTTTTCTTGAAGGCACGCGCTAGATGGACGTGTCCTGTCTCTGGTCTGACAGCTCTCAGGTCGCTCCAGGGCGGGCTCTTTTGTCCCCCGTCTGTCCTGTCCGGGGCAGCCTTTGTGATGTCCATGTTTACAAAGTGGTGGACATCCGAACTACATGGACGGCGGTGGGTCACAATTATCATGGTCACGAGAGGAAACATTTCATCTTGTCAGAACCAAAGACGTGATTTTTTTTCACTCTGTGTCACGATCTTGGCCTTTTCCTACACATCAAGTATTTGGTCAATGAAAATTATTTCAGAGATCATTATGCTTTACGCACCGAGGGACAGTGTGAAAGAAACGCCGTAATGGTTTTACAACCTGCTATGGAAGAAGCAAAACTACCGTGCCATCTGTCACAAGATCCGAGAAAATCATGTGTTTACGCGTTTTGAAAAATAAGAATACGTCAAATGAAACTTCCATGATACCTTTTGCCATGTTATTGTTTTAAACTTACTAGTATCTAAAGTATTGTAGTTGGTCAAACTTAAAGTTACAAAGTCTGAACAGTTGTTATGGAATGCTGTCTTCCAATGCGGTTCACTGGACAAGACAACTAGCTTGAGAGCGTTATAGATCTGACATCTGTGCAAAGGACAACACAAACCCGCTGAGGCAAAACTTTAATAGCTAATGAAGCCAGCTCATAAAACAAGTCTATTAAACACGAGTGCATAGTTTTACAGCTTTCGTAACGCCTGCAAATATGTTAGATTGACCCACTTAACTATATGATCTAACTCTGATATGGACTTCGAGGTAACTGTAGTGGTATGTTATCGTTTTCCATATAGCATAGTCTACAAGCAGAGTTTAAATACCAGAATGGAAACAACTAATGAGGTTTTGTTGACCACACAAAATGCTATGCGCTCTTCTAGACAGCCTGTCTCCAACCCAGATGTTCACATGCCTCTTCGTAATGTGGTTCAGGAAGGCGTCACTTTTAACACTATTGCGCCCTGATCCGGCCAGCTTGAAGTTTTTATGTAAAACAACAAATTGAATCTTCAGCAGTCAGACCATGGTCGACAAAAGTCACTTCTAAAACTAGCAATTTCTTCGTAGCTCGCCACGGCTACGACGTTTGTTACTGTCCACCTTAGGAGGTCTTCATCTTTTGTCAAAATGTCCTTTAAAACTACCCATCGATCCTGAATGCGTGTGTCCCGTTTGTCAACCCGTCTCAGGCACACTTTATCTGTCAGGGCTGTTCACAAAAACTTGGTAACAAGAGCTAACTACATTGTATCGGTGATAATATCACAACGTCTTGCAATCGCACTAAATTGTGCAAGCTCGTCTAAAAAAATGTACCCAGGGGAGCTATGTTGTTGCTGTTATGAACCCATCAGACTCAATAAACGTAATATATTTACAGCAACATTAACACGTTTTGGGTTTTATAGACCCACTTTCAATACTGAGAAATGAAATGAAAACCCAATGGCTGGATAAGTAAAAAAGTTAGATGCTGAACACCAGTTGAAATACCCCTGAATGTATATAGTCACAGTGCTTTCCGAGAACTGCAGAGATCAAAGAAAGTAAAACACAGTAAGAAGGCCATTAGTACAGTGGATCTCCAAGTGTCATTCTGTGTGCTATAGATGGAATTGCCTGGTAACAGACGTGACGAGGCCTGCTGTGGCTTAGACCTGTGAAGTCTTATCTAGACGAAGCTTCACACCACGCATCGATGATTAAAAGATCCCTATAAACACCATCATAAACATTTACATGAAAATGGTACAAAGCGATGAGGAAATTTAGTGAACTCGTTGTAGGAAGATCGGCTTCATTGACCACGAAGTGATGTTCTCAGACCACACCCCTTAAAATCTAATCTCTAAAGAGTCTAAGCAGATCCCTCTCGGTGGCAAAAAGACAGTATCAAATTGGCCAGGCAGTATCCATTAGCCAGAGAAGCTCCGCGGCCACCGACGGGTTGGTGGGGATCAGGACAAAAAAACGGCCATATATATATATATATATATAAAAAGGTAACGATCATTCCCCCACAACCTCTGCTTGGAGAGTACTTAAATCGACAAAGAAGGCTTTCTGTATGATAACGTTCATCAGGAAATATCTATTCTTCTCAGTAAGAAAACACCGTGTCAGTGGCAATAATCATTATCCCAGGTACGAAGAGATTGCTAGTTTTAGAAGTGACTTTGTCTGACTTCTGAAGATTCAATTTGTTAATTTTTTTTTACATAAAACCTCCACTCGGTTCAGGGCGCAACATAGTGTTGAAACCGACGCCTTTCTGAACCACAAAAAAATTGGTGTGCCTAAATGCCTATTCCTTACAATTAGGTTGATATTGAAGAGACATGAGAGCATCTGGGTTGGAGACAGGCTGTCTAGAAGAGCGCATAGCATTTTGGGTGGTCAACGAAATCCCATTAGTTGTTGTTGTTTCCATTTTGGCTTGTAGACTATGTTGTAGAGTAATTGTAAGGAAACTGTGACATACCACTACAGTTACCTCCACAGTGAGTTACCTCGGAGTCCATATCAGAGTTAGATCATATAGTTTAGTGGGTCAATCTAACATATTTACAGGCGTTAGAAAAGCTGTAAAACTATGCACTCGTGTTTGATAGACTTGTTTTATGAGCTGGCTTCATTAGCTATTAAAGTTTTGCCTCAGCGGGTTTGTGTTGTCCTTTGCACAGATGTCAGATCTAGAGCGCTCTCAAGCTAGTTGTCTTGTCTAGTGAACCGCATTGGAAGACAGCATTCCATAACAACTGTTCAGACTTTGTAACTTTAAGTTTCACCAACTACAATACTTTAGATACTAGGAAGTTAAAAACAATAACAATATGGAAAAATGTATCATGGAAGCTGCATTTGACGTATTCTTATTCTTCAAAACGCGTAAACGCATGATTTTCCCGGATCTTGTGACAGATGGCACGGTAGTTTTGCTTCTTCCATAGCAGGTTGTAAAACCATTACGACGTTTCTTTCACACTGTCCCTCGGTGCGTAAAGCATAATGATCTCTGAAATGATTTTCATTGACCAAATACTTATGTGTAGGAAAAGGCCAAGATCGTGACACAGAGCGAAAAAATCCACGTCTTTGGTTCTGACAAGATGAAATGTTTCCTCTCGTGACCATGATAATTGTGACCCACCGCCGTCCATGTAGTTCTGATGTCCATCACTTTGTAAACATGGACATCACAAAGGCT